TTCACTCTATTTAGAACTGGTGTGCGTTTGTGTGTGTGTGTGTGTGTGTGCGTGTGCGTATGCGCACATTTTCCTCTATTTTATTCTGTCTTGTTCTCTCTTTTTCAACTGTGTCAACTGATCCTTTTTATGTCAATGCCTCAACCGACTCATTCATTTTCTGATTTACCATATCGTTAAACACTATTTTATATTTATTTCAGTTTTAGGTATTGTTTAATAACGGAGATATATTCGCAAAAACGTTTTAACTTCGCCAATTTATTATGATATAATTTTTATCAATCTATCGAATACTTAGTTCTGTTGCTCAGGGGAATCGTGCTCCTAGTAATAATGTTCTTATCATACTGAATCACTGATTTATGATTCTATGTAATTATCTGTTTCAATACGAATAATACAAAACATAATAATTTGACAAGAATTTTATTAGTAAACATGTGTCATGACATTTCGAATGAACTCACTTTTCCTCGTCATCTAATCTAAACCACATACACAATTTTCGCATAACTGGGTATGTTGAATCAGATTATAAAATTGAATGATTTTGACTACATTATTCTAACCCAGTAGCTCAACAATACCAAAGTTAACACAAGATCAATCAATCAGTAATAGCATATAGAACTTCGTACATACGCACATCAATTCATATTGCCATACTACATTAGCACAGATATGTAATTGTCAATTCAAATCCCATAGTAGTAGAGCTAGCTAAGGTATTAACAGTAATCGGAGAGATTAGGGTTTGAAGATATTATTCAAGAAGTAGAATCTAGTGAGATGAAATTTTTAAAAAGATTTAGTGATATGGAATAAACAAAGAATGGATGAACCTGAGCCATTGCAAACGGTTTTCAACTATGTCACTCAGGGTCTCCAACCATTGGTTATTATCATCTCGAGGGCCACAGCCACGTAGTCAATACCGACCGACTTGACTCAACATTTCATCTCTTGTATTGCCATTCTTATCTAGTACCCGTTTCCTAATAACCGAATTACTCACTCGGTCCTCCCAGGATATACGAGCAATGCTTCGGAGACAAGTTGATCAAAAACAAGCAACCTACGTATATTATCTACTCTGATTGTCCATGTTTCACAGCCATAAATTAGATGGGAGCCAACTGCTGCTCAGTACACTCGTCCTTTAGTCAGCAAACGGATATCTCGCCTACACCATAAGTGACGAAAGTTGTAGAAAGCCATTCGAGCCCTTAGTATCCGTACTGAGATTTCGTCAGTCACCAGGCCATCAGCACTGATGAGACTCCCAAGATAAGTGAAGCGGTCAACACGTTCGACTACTTCACTCCCTATCACTAGTTCAGGTGCCGATGAAACCCAATCTTGAAACAAAATTTTGCATTTCGAGGGGGAAAACCGCATCCCGAACATGCTTGCATTGTTGCTCAGGGTATTCAGAAGACTCTGCATTTTGTCAGCGTCTTCACCAAGTAGGACTATGTCATCGGCATATTCTAATTCAATAAGCGAGCCACCTGGTAAAAGGTCTACTCCAGAAAATTCAGACGAGGATAAGGTTATTTCTAAGAGCATGTCTATGATAAAATTAAACAAAAATGGAGAAAGTGGACATCCCTGACGGACACCACTTGAGGTAGAGAATTCCGGTGACAGTTCGCCATAAGCTCTCACTCGACCAGTGGTGTTCGAGTAGAGAGCTTGTATAAGGTTAATGTACTTATTTGGTACACCTTTCAATGACAGACACTGCCACAGAACCTCACGATCCACAGAGTCAAATGCCGCCTTAAGGTCTAGGAAAACAACTATTGTAGGACGCCTAAATGTGTGTCTGTGTTCCAGGACCTGTCGAATTGTGAAAATGTGGTCTATACAACCACGTCCAGGTCGAAAACCAGCCTAGTTTTCTCTAGTCTGCTCTTCACAAGCTTTCGTTAAGCGTCGAAGTATTATTGAGGCCAATATTTTAGAACCTATATTTGTTAGACTTATTCCCCTGTGATTCTCACGAGAAGAGTTGTCAATTCTTATATGTTGGGACAATAAGTGATTGGGAACAGTTGAACGGGATTACGCCTAGTTCCCAGATTCTACCTAAGACCTCAGTCAATCTAGTTGCTAAAACTGGACCACCATCCTGAAATTTCTCAGGGGTCAATCTGTTGGAAACCGCTGCTCTCCCTCGCTTCAGGTTTTCTATGACTTTCTCAACTTCATAAAGAGTCGGACAACTTACATCGATTTGCTATTCAGGATGACTAGAGATCTTGGGTAGACGAAATATGACTCAGGGCCAATTGAACTGATCCGTGAAGTGTTCTGCCTAGTTGTCGTCTGTCGCATGTTGCCAACACCCTTTCATTATCTTTTGATCTAGCTACTCTCCACTGTTCACGATCACAGCGTGAGCTTCCCATCATCCTGTGCTTAAGCTAACTTCGCTCTTCATCATGTTCAGATCCAGGTGGGACGAGTTTACGAGCGTCTATCAGTTTGGTAGATGCTACTGAGATCCACGGCTTCTTCCCAGCCATGTGGCTTACCATACTAGCAGATATCACTGTTGTTTCTACAGCTCTTCTGATATCATTTCAAGCTGTCTCAGGGTGGGGATCACTTACATGGTCGCCCAACTGTTTTTCTAGTTACTCCTGAAATATATTCTTTGCTTTATTATCATTAAGTAAAGCCCTAAGCGGTTTCCTTGAGATATTTTTCTTACGTCGAGTAAGGCGCCGAAAAGTACGCGTTCATTTCACAGCATGGTCTGAGTCTAAATAAGTGCTCCAGAATGAGCAGCAGTCTTCAACATAGCCTCTTCACCGATGGCTTACAGCGATGTGATCCAGTTGGGTCCATCGTTGGTGTATTCCCTTTTGCTTAAAGCTAGTGTTTCCTAGGAATAGGCGGTTATCTGAGCACAGCCGCAGCAAACGGTCGGCATTATCTTTTCTATCAGCCGCGACACCATAAGATCCCCCCAGGTGTGTTTCCTATTCGCATAGTCTACCTACTTGAGCAACAAAGTCGCCAGCCATTATTAACTATATCAGAGAGCTTAACGTTTTGGAGAAGTTTGGAGAGGTTTCTGTAAAACCTATCTTTCTTGTCGTCTGAACCACAGTCAGTGAGAGCTTAGGCAGATACGATGAAGAGGCAACGGCGAAATTCCTTATCTTTACAGGTCCGTACCGTCCCGTTTACTTGTACAGCGCATAAGCCACTGTATCTCCGGATCTAGTCTAAGAGATCTAGTTCTGCCCTACGACCTAATGCTATACCTATACCAGCGAGGCCATGGGAAGCAGCATCAGGGCTACACGAAGCGTTACCCTTGTTGTGTCTCTATCTGCACTAGATGAAATCAAATGGATGATTTTATTCGAATACTGTATGTGCATTTTGGATACACAACATATATTGATCACACAGGATTCCAGAGTTCTAGCTAATGAAGCCTGTTGACCTATTTGGCATAGGGTTCAAACAATAAAAGCTCCAATATGTTATTTATTACTGGGTTTCAAGAGACCAGGAATGACGTTTCGTGAGCTCAAGCTGTTTGTTTCAGTGTAGCGAGGTGATAAACGATCGAAGGATGAGTTGGTCGAGCAGATGAGAGAGTTGGTAGGAGGTTTAGAAAGGGTTTTATTATGACCGATCAGCTCTTGTGTGCTTTTATGGGTATGATGGCGGATGTTACTTCCCGGCTGCCCACACTGTAGAAGTAAAATAAGATCTATGTATTCATGGTTTGCTCATGTTTGATCTAACTGATTCTGTTTCTGAAACAAATCAATTTACTTTCAAACAAGATTCTAACAGATTAACTATAGAGTTAATCACAGGAAGATACGTCATATGCTTACTTGTCATCTATCATTCTGTAGAATCTTGTTAAGCCACAAAAGTAAGGTAAAATCGATTAGATTGATGACGAAAATTCAAAAGTATATCTATGTATTTAATTGGTTATTTATTGTCAAAATACACAGAGCAGCAAAAACTGACTTCCATATGTGGCCCACTCAATTGCCTAATCACTGTTCACTTTCCAGTTCACTCATATCTGGTTTACTCCTGATTTGTAATGAAAATATTGCTGTGCACATTTTGATGAATATTAATAGATTATTGTGACTGACCTTCTCAACGATTTGATGAATGGAAGTGTTGTCTGACTAGTGATTTTGTGAACTATATATATCCTCCACTTGCATGAACTGTTTGCTGTGTGACAAAAGTAATTCAACGACAAACCACCTTTCTATCATATAAAATAAATAACTGAACCTAAATACTAAAGAAATGAAATTACTCATTTGAATCGGGAATCTAGGATTAAAATATTTTTGGTTGAGGGTGCATAATCATTTCGATGAGAACATTGTTGACATGGCTACGACAAATGTTTTCACATTTTCATTATGAAAGTATTTTGTTCGATTCCTTTTTCTATTTTGATAATATTTATTTGTCTATCTTCTCTTCTTGAAATTACTTTTGGCCACCATTTCAGTATAGATGACAACTAGTTGTTAGTAGTTTAATGATAGTCACTACTACTACTACTACTAATACTACTACTACTACTACTACTAATACTACTACTACTACTACTACTACTACTACTACTACTACTACTACTACTACTACTACTACTACTACTACTACTACTACTGAAATAGTATCGCACTGTCAGCAATTTCACCTCTCTCTATCTGCATTGATTATTATTTATTCAGAGCGGTTAATATTAAGACCGATTTCATTGGCTTATTGGTAAACTCACTCCTCTTCGGTGAATTGTTTGTTACTAAATTTGTTTAAAAAAATTTAGCGTTGTTATATATTACAACTTTCAGAAAACTAAATAGCTTGATACATATGATGAATACTTTGTGGACACTGTTTACGATTATGCAATTTAAAAGAGACAAAGATTGAGAAGTTATCTTTTTAAAACCACGTTTACATCAAAGTGTTATTGATAGAAATACTAATTTCACTTAATGATTTTTGTTCAGATTCTCTGAGAATATTTCATGTTGTTACTGAGATTCAGCTATTTTATTGAAGTTACACTGTATAATTCCCTCTTTTTTTTCATTTCTGCCGCAAAAATTCATCAGTGCTTTAACAATCAGTGGAACATTTTGCAATTTTCAATGAAAAAATTGAATGTATGCATTAAATGGAAGTCAGTTGATCAATTGTAGAGGCTAAATTTAGGCGAAACCATCAGCTTAAACTTCTGTCGACAAGAATAAATTAGAATGTATAGGCGATAAAAAGGAGTTGTAGGAATAAAACATATTCCAGCTGTGACTCATCAGTGAAAAGAAATTGATTATTCAGTATATAATTAGATTTATGCTTCCGGCTAGTAAAATACATGCCTTCTGAATACTTTGTGTTACAACATTACAAAAACAATTCGGTCGAAAAATGTTTTGCCAATATTTAAGTAACATGCTAATATTTAATGCAATCTGTTGAACAAAACAACTTCGATATGATTTCATTGCATTTGAAATTGTTTATATTGTCCCGTTGTTAATATTTCTGATAGAAATGTGATCAATCTTGGTTGCATTATGTTCGGATTGTCTTGATACAGACATTATGATACAAGTGTATATAAGTTAGTTTACTAGAAACTACTGAAATAAATCAAACAAATGTTCAAATTTTAAAAGATGTGTGAATTCTACAAAGTACTTACATTCCTTTCGACTTTAAGTATTTACTGAATAATCAGAAAAGAAACACATTTAGGATTTTTCAATTAGAGTTATCGAGATTCGTGTTTGTTGCATACTGAAATCATCAATTAATCATTGTTAGACCACAATTAGAAACCTGGACGGCCGTTTCGTCCGGGGATGAGACTCATCGGAAGTGCGCATCCATGACTCTTGCACCTCGCAGGATTCGTGGATGAGCATTGCAGATGAGTACCATCCCTGGAGGAAACGACCATCCAGTGTTTCCAGGTTTCGAATGGTGGTCTAACAATGATTGATTGACGATTTCACTATGCAAAAAACATTTAGCGTCATTCGAGTTTTTATACGATTTCTATGGTATTACAGTTTACTTCTAACAACAAACGAGCCTCTTCTTCGTTTCAACCGTTCACAATATTCCCTACAATTTTCACAAATCAGACCCCTCACATACTCTTCTTAGACAAGTTTTTATTACTTCTGTATAGCCATTTCACTTTCTTAGAACATAAAAAAAACTTAAAAAGATTGTTTTTAGAGATTAGGAAGTTATATAGCATGTTGATTGGAATGTATGCAGAAAATGTATTAATGATCAGCACTTAGTGTACAGATGCATTATTGAGTTTCTAGAGTAGACCTTGGTACTAATGAGAAACTTGTGTCTTACACCAACCAGTAGGAAATCGACATCGTAAAACTAAATCCAAATCAAACTAAGACAGTGAACGTTCAGTTACATTTGGATTAGTCATGCATCACAAAAATCACTAAATTATTGTGTGAACTAGGATAACGCAGAATCACCTAAACCGATGTGAGTGGTTTTCTAAGCGCCACTCACATAGCCTTTGACTTACAAGTTTACTACACATGACAGTGGAGCAACTTTAGGACATGCAATTCCAAGGTGTTAGGTGGCCAACAACAAGTTCATACTTCACTTGTTCCTTCCAGATCCTGAAGCCCATGTTCACCACTGATTTGTTATTAGGTTTCGCCAACTTCCCTAGGTGAATCCAATAACCCGATTTAAGCAACAGATATCTAATTCTTGTAATCTAACTTCTGTAAACAGCACCCTTGCCACGAGATGCCAGTGAATATAACCTCCCCAAATGTAGCTATGCACAAGTGACTGTGATAGCATTTGGAGGGGAAGAGCAGAATCTCTCCACTTCAAGCCATACTGAAGCATTCGCGGGGTAGTAAGTGCCCTTATACTTCCAAACAACCAAGTAAATAACTAACTTTAGTTCATTTATGATATATCTTTACCAAAATATTCCATTTAAATGACTGCATTTCAAATTGTAAATTTAGCTGTACAACTACAGTTGGCTTAAGTAGTGTGTATTTTCATCACTTTCTTTATAGATGTTGTTATGTATTGAGGAAAAGCTTTTCCTTGTTATTAACAAATCTGTAAAGTAGCACAGTCGATAGAAAATTTTTCGTGAATAACTGAATGAATTCGTAAATTGATAATAGCTGTCACTACCAGTTAAAATCTCAACATTGGCCATCAGCATGTAAAATTGATGTAAAATCAACCATATTTCGACAATCTTACTTCTCACAGTTACCTCACAGAAATTCTTCTAACAATTCGACTTGAATTTGCTAGTGAAATTATATATGTTTCGTGAAGTGTTCAATATGTTTAATATTTGCCAAAGTTCCTAGTTTAATCGTCTACCATCAATCACACCAAGCGTAAATTGTTCAATATCAACGGTTAATACAATGTTAAATAACATTTTTACAAATTCCCAATACGAATGTTTTGATAAGATTTTTGAATGTTCAGTATTTGAATTAAACTTTTTTGTGATATTGAACATTCACTACATGTTACTTTGTAAGATGTTCAATTGATTAGTTGACAAACAAAATAACCAACACTTACTTTAACAAACTAAGTTTCATTGTTATATATCTATCAATCAAATTTAAACAAGAAACATAATCAAATGAACATATTCATTTTTTGAAAGCAGAACATAAATGATTTGAATTTGAACATCATAAATAACTGAAGATTTATGCCTGATAATTTAGTGATAAACGAATAACGTAATACCTAATGTTTGATAATGATCAACTTCAGACCAGCTTTTATTCCACAATGGTAAATTACCTAGTTTTCAATGATACAACTCTTGATATAATAATGTTTAGATTATATCACTTTAAGAAGGAAAACGTACTACTGCTAAGAAAATAATGGCAGATAATTATACTGTAATATAGCATGAAGATGCATGCCACCGCTAAATACTGAAACGAAGCATAATATCTCTAATATGCTTATGGTTACTGACAGTGTTTTGTTGTCTTATTTTAGTGATTGACATCATTCAGTCAGTCAGTTACATAGGAGAACTTCGTACGTAAATAAATCAGTTCAGGTTTCCATACAGCATCAGCACAGAGACGCAACTATCAGTTCAAATCCTAGAATAGTAGGGATAGTAGGAGTATTAGCAGTTAATGCAGTAGATTAGTGTTCGAAGATATAATCCGAGAAGTGAACTAAATTTAGAAATAGAAAGATAGAGATGATGAGGAATTCACAAGGTTCGAATTTGAGAGAACACAAACAGTGGATGCACCTGCACCTTTGGAACGATTCTGAGCCAGGGTCTCTAACCATCGGTAACTTTCATCTCTCGAGGATCCCAACCAGGTAGTCTACATCTACCAACACGTAACTCAGCCACTTGTCAGTAATTTCAATGGGTTTTGTGCCATGTTTCGGTTTAGTTATTGATATCAACTTTATCGAAATATGCATTAGTTTTAAAATGTAGAATATAAACATTTTGAGTATATCATAAAGCATTTAACAGGACTAACTGAGGAAAACCTCGTGTAACATTGCGTTAAACCGATACTTTTCTAATTTCCACTGAATTGGCTCTAACTCCTCTGATAACTTTCTAATATATATTCTTCAGCATTATTTTCTTATGAAGCTTCTTTCACGGACATAATTTCAATGAATTATTATCACCCTTACAAAACTGTATTCAACTGTTTTTATTTCAAATTCAATTCATAGTTTACATCAATACAATGTATTGAACTTGATTGCATGCCCAAATCATTGTGTTCACCAAAAACATGAGAATTTAATGACTCTGAATTAAGGCGATAAAACTAATAACTTATATTGATCATTTATTTATTATAGCTGTAGTCCTGTAAACATTCTTAACAATTCAAACATGCAATAAATACAATTGGATACTTAATAACACTCACTGTTTTTGCTCTGACGGTTTCATACTTTTTCTAAATATTCAAAGTTAAAATAATCTCTGATTATCTGTGCAAAATTTTAGTGAATCATTTCAACTTAACAAACACCATTAGTTAAAAAAAAATCTTTTCAAAACACCATATACTTATAAGCTGATAGATAACATGTTCGAAACTTAATATTTATTAATTAAAACTTCTCTTGTTTTAGTTGAACCTCAAATCAAAATCACCAAATCCAATCTTTCGGGTTCAATTCATTATTCTATGTAACGATTGAAACATAACAGAAATAATTTGTAGTGAGAAGCCATGGATAATTACGGTGAAGTTATTTCTTCGTATACAGTACTAAGTTGTTTACCCTTAATAACAACTTTCACGAATAAACTAGGTCTTGCATTAATTTTCTGATCTATAATGTGACCTGAATAAAGTTCGACTAGTTGGAAATTACTTAGTATTTAATGAAGGATTGATGTTATCGATGTTCTCGGCATTTTTCGAATTCATAAAAACCGCATTTGTAATTGATCAATGAGTGTCAGTTAGTTTTATGAATTTTTGTTACAAAATCACATTGTCTAATTCATGTCAGTGTGTAGGAAGATTGTGCTTCACATGAATGAAAATAAACTCTGCAATTAAAACAATAATGATCATATATTATTTAAGTCAAATCCAAATTGTTGTATAGGGTTGAAATTTGTGGTGATACATAGATATATTCTAGAATGTGAATAAATCACACAGACTGTTTGAATATAAAAATAAATTGAAAATTCGAAATTCTACTTGAGATTTCTGTTTCAGAAACATTTGATTATCAGAAGGAGACTGAACCATTCAATGAACTACACTATCAACTAAGTTTACATGTAAACAAGAGAAATGAAGTAGTTGATATCAACAAACATGGCATATGAAAGTCACAAACAAGAGAGCGGAAGCTCAAACTCACATATCAATCTTATAACCATATTCTAAAACGAATCGAAACAAAAAGTGTTCAAATGAAATTTCCCTAGAACGTCTTTCATTCTATCACACTAAATAACTATGAAACATTTCCTCGTAAAATATCTCTAATTCATACGGGTTTGTACAAGATGAATCCTTAATTACTCATAATCGCATACAGAAACTCGTGTGTTCATCAACCGGATCAAGAGGATAAAATATGGTTGCTTGCATCTTGCCATGTGACATTCAGATCTGCCAATTGATCAATCTCTTTTGCTAATTTTATTCACAACAAGTATCGTATAACAAATCTCATGAAAATACTGATTAATTTGAGAATCTCATTTTTATGAACAAGATGTTTTAGAGGAAATGATATCAATAATATGATTGACTTCTCTTGTTCAAGATTTTGTACTTTGTTCATAAAACACTTTGTGATATGATGCTGATTGAATGAAGTTAGCTTTAAGATGTTGTTTCAATGAAGAATTACGCATAACTATCCATAAAATTACTCCTGAACTCATCAGGAGTTGTATTTTCTTTAGTTGTCAGTGTTCATGATTGTTGTTACCAACCTATGGAGAAATATTTCTAGTTTGCTATGTACTCTCCTTAGAAAAACACCACATTTCTCATTGTCTTATGTGAACTTACATATTATTACTTTCTTAAAAGGCAAGCAGAGTGATGTAATTTCTTCGAAAGTTACTCTTTCATGAAATTCTTACTCACCTTGTGAAATGAACAAACTAACGATCACTAATATACCAATCAAATATGTTTTCATGTTGTTGAATTTCAAATTCCAAGCTGAATGACTGAAATATGATGGTATTCTAACGTGAAATTTATTTTTAATAGGATTTTTGTAAATAGATTAATGTGTACACAGAATGACGTATTCAAATGTTTTTCTAACAAATAAATACTTTTTCTCAATATAATGTGATCTTATAGCAATTAATTTGAAACTGTACACTAAAAGAATACAACCGACATTGTTGACATAGTGAATATAATTAAACAAACAGTAAAAGTAGACAGAAAAAGAGAGGATAGACTTCCAAAGAGTCTGAACACAAAGGTTTGCTGTAAACACTGTGGATGGCTTGGCATTGCTTTGTTCACAGTTCATATACAAAATTGGTTAGCAGCGCGACCGATTTCATTGATATAGGTGGTTATTTTGCAACATTCCCAAGGGCCATTGTAATTGGGGCGCTGTATTACATAACACTATTGCTAATAATAATGAATTTGACAGTCATGTATGGGTCGAAATAGCCTGTTTATGCGGTGCATATTGATTGACGCGATCATGGATCGGAAATATATATACTAGTGTGTGAATGGTCCACCAGGGTATCAGGTACCTGTGTGGTTGGACCACAGAATTGAGCCGAACTGTTCCCGTACAGTTTATTACGTGATTGCTGTTACATACTTACTACTACTACTACTACTACTACTACTACTACTACTACTACTACTACTACTACTACTACTACTACTACTGATAAATATAATAATAGAAGGTTACAATTGCTTTCGATGTTGAATGAACAGAATTTCAATATTTATCCCACCTTCATAAAATTAAAACACATGTTTACACATTACTGGAAAACTATTAAATCTGTTGCACATTTACAGATTGAAATAAATAAATGTTTATTTGTACATGAGCATATTTGTTTTCATATGTGTCCCACATATGAAATTTGATAGATTTCTATATTTACGCAGATTATACAATGTAATTCCGCATCAAATATTACTTTGAATTCTTAAAGAAATAGATTTGTGCGTAAATGTATATATATACAAATATGCTGATGAAGATCTAGTTCTCATTCCACGGATTGTATTCACTTGACTATTCAATTAACACTAAGTGATAAGAAATGATTACCTTCACATTATACATTACTTTAGTGTACACAGTTCTCAGTGTATACTCTGACATTTTGCCATGTAAGTAAAGATTTGCATTATCGATACATTATACTAGAAAAATATTTTTTTACACTTCCACTAATGGTAAACGTTTGTACGTATTATAAGCAGTGTATAAGATCAACTGTATTGTCTGAAGAATGAACTATGTACTTTGTAGCTGTTCTAGAGAGATTAAGGCTTGTTTTCAAATTTTAGGCCATGTATTATTTATAATTTTTTAACTTCTTTAATATGAACATTTCGGTGTTAGGTTTATTTCTAAACTACTGATATGCACACAATTCATGCCAGTCTATAGGTATGACTCTCTATTGATGTAGATAGAAATGTTAAATGTCTAAGAGGGATATATGATTTTAGATTGTTTGACGTGTTTTATAGCTCATATAAGCCTCATGTACTAATCACTTTGAAATTAAAGTCATAGGCATCAATACACTTGACATAGTTTACACTTTATCCATCCTATGAAGAAGTAAGATATGATTAGGAATAAAATTCATACATGAAACAGAATTTTTCTTAAAAACGGTCCAATAAAAATGAGTGGCGTTCGGTCATTGTTGAGATATGCTTTTATACATTCATATTCAAAGAATATTTACAACTTGAATGAGCGACTGAATGAATGAACAAGAATTTGTTATCATATTTCACACAATGTTTTGAGAATTCTCTTCTAGATGATCAAATTGATATAGTACTGCCTCGACGAGCTTTGTTTTGTAGTGTAGGAATAGGTTGGAATAAAGCTAAGGGGGCCAAACCAAAACATGGCAGAAATCCATGAAACCATTGTTGAGTGGACTTAGCCATTTCGGTAGTTGTCGACTACCTGGTTGGGGTCCGCGAGATGATAATAATCGATGGTTAGAGACCATGAATGACATGGCTCAAAACCGTTCGCAATGGCGCCGATGTATTTATTCTTTCTGTTTTCTCAAATTCTAATCTTTTGGATTCTTCAACCCCTCTAGTTTTGACTTTCTAAACTTTTCGTACTGAATCATACTTCTTGAATAATATCCTCTAATCCTAACCTCTCCGATTACTTCTAACACCTTTACTACCTCTACTATTATTGGATTTGAATTGACAATTATATCTCTGTGCTTACATGTGGTATGGCAACGTGAACTGATATACTTACGTACGAAGTTCTACGTTGCATCTGACTGACTGACTGACTGAGTACTGAGAATCTTTGTTATTTATATATATAACTCTTTCTATTATTCACTATATTTCATGATGTGTAATGATGTTGACGTATTGTTTGATACATATTTAAAGTCACGGATCCGGAGAACATGTAAGATTGGGTGACCATTTTAACAATAGATTTTTATGTAACATCATACTAGAATAGTAGTAGACAGTGTTGTTCGAGACTGTCGAATACTCGAATATGCTTACTCACAACAGTTGTATGTTCAACGTATGAATTATTGATTCATTTAAGTAGTTTTTTTGTTATTGCTCTGAGCGTCAACCTGTTTTCTGATAATCCTGTCCACTAAAACTAAATGCATATTATGAATAGGGGTTTTTCTAAACATACAGCATATGTCTAACATTTACTGCAACAATTTATAATAGACAATATAACTATGGAAACAATTAACTAGTACCTCCATGATCATTCAAATGAAGATTTATGTTAGATTGGGTAATGTGTCTGTTTTATCCATTTTCAATATCAACTTTTCATTATTAAACATGTAGACTTGACTAATGACTCGTTTCATTGTATTTTCAAATACAATTACACATCATTATAAATAGTGAAAAGTGAATTGCTCATAATACGCTTGTATTGAAGTACTTAATAACGTTGAAACTATTCAAAAATTTCAATCTCAAGTTTATATTAAATAAACTTTAATTAATTTTTTATACAATTCAAATGATGAATGAATGAACAACATTAAATCAAATGTCATACTTGCTAGTTTATGATTTAAAGTAGGTTTTCGGCACAGACTGATATTAAATGAAAAGTTAACAGAAAATCAAACGAACTGTAACAGTAGAAACAATTTGATCAATCATATCAAATAACAGAACATAAGCACCGTGACTTTTATCGATAACCAGAAATATTTTTCTTCTATATTTTGTGAAAAAAAATTGAGAGATTGTAACTATTAAAATGATCTTAGAAAGGTTATCAATGATTTGATTTGAATCAAGAAGAAGGTGATGTTAGTAGACTAAAACTAAACGGAAAAGTAAAAACAGATGAAAAGTAGATATCTTTTTGTTAAACTATCGTTTGAATATAATATGCCAATAAATATGTGAGCACAACTAGCTGATTGAATGAGAAACGAAGAGTGCGTTGGAAACTCTGATAGATTCATTTGCGCACTCTTATATAGAAATCGATAAATTTGTACATTTTGTATTTCTATCTTCAGATTTGGAAAATTTCCTCCTCAAGCTCATCCAAAGTAATATCTGTCCATCGATCATGAAAGATTGTTTGATTTTTTTCTATGTCTGATACACTTTAGAAGTTTTAAATAAAACTTTCATATTCATGTTGTTTATCTCAATAAATTCAATTGTTGACACCTTATTCTTAACAAATCTTTACATATGAATGAATATACATGGGGATAAGTGAGGAAGAAGTCATAATTTATTCACATTGTTATAAAACACTGATTATTACAACTGCAAAATTGTGACACACAATGTCAACTAAGAACACAACGACCGGAATACTTACAAAATAAATACATATATATATTCATTTGTAAATGGAATTTACTTTTAACGAATGATTACTCAATGGAAATGAATGCATCACTAAATTAGTAGTAGGAATACAAACAGATTCTACACGGCATGCATTTTACTGAACAAACATCACATTGGATCTCATTTTTGATGCCCCGCCCTTTCATCTCCTACCAACTCTAACATTGATAAAACAATATTGCTATCATAAATCTGTCTATTGAAACTGGCAACCATGTGATGTATGAACACAGATTTTATAATGAAAGTTAAATTCAACTGATTTCTTGACTAGCAGACCAGTCTGTGTTTATCTAATTTTTTTTTAAGAAAACGATTAAAATTATCCAACTGACTATAACCAATTTGGTCGACTACCAACAGAAATTATTATTGGGATTTAGACCGAAAAGGTGATCAATATTCAATTATATAATTTAATTCTGTTTCAATCTTATTACAATTCCATTTGCAGATTCATATTTCCATTTCTCACATATGACGAGTAAGTATATCATTTCTGAAATTGAAAATCATTTCATAGCTAATATTTGATAGGTTTATATGCCTACAGATTAAATTGCTTAGTTTAGTCTACGCACAGCATTTAATCTTTGGACAGCAGTATGAATTTAGTCATCACAAAAATTTCTATGGTGATATGCTTTGTTTTAGTTATACTCCCATTTTCGAAAGTAAACAAAAAATAATTTCCAATCTAGCCACAACTCCATTTAACAGTCGAAAGCTGTCTGAAATCCGAAGTCATTTTTACGGACATTATCAAAATTGATGCTTGTTCTGTCGTTTGATATTTGTTTGATGGAAATGGACTCAATCAATGAGTCAGTCTGTGTTAGGATATTCATCCAACATCATAAGATAATTATTGGTTAATTCCTATTGGTCAATATTATGGTCGTCCTAGCTATCAAAGTGACTTCAAATGTTGTTTCCTATCAGTCGTCTTCACTGTCAATCTCACAGACTTCGATGCTGTTTCCTACTCGACCTAAATATATAAATACGCATTATCTGTAACGCTTTATGACCTGGACACGGATCCTCAGTTCGGGACCCGTGTCTTTTCTGGACTCAGAACTCGTACTTTCTGGATGCTTGTAGAATACACGTTATAATTCATATCAAGTCTTCTTCTCTTATTCAATGGGGGGTTGGGACACTCAGATTAGATTAGCATGTCGTGTCACCGGATCCTCGATCCTCGCTCTCGTTTTCCGACTAAGGTAAACTCGTAATAGTTCAAGTATATCAAAATGGCATGTTTATGTGCATGCGTAACAGTTTGTAATGAAAACAATCAACACATCAAGTAGGTTTTCACATTTTGTTTGTTGGTATCATGATTCATTAGTGATGATTAATAGTTACACAACATGAATTTCTCGGTGATTTAACAAGAAAGAGCAACCTAAGAAGTCATTTATCTTTTAATACAAGCTATCCCAAATGGGGCTTGACTTATCGTTAACCTTCTGTTTTGACCCATACATTAAACATAATCTGATATGTCACTAATGATACAGCACTTTCTGACTTTTTTGGATCATTTATTAATCAATTAACCTGGTGTATCTTAGTATTAGAGGTTAACAAAAAATACTAATAATTACACTCATGTTAATCAAAATGCACACATTGATAAAGTAACAAATTTAAAAAAATTATTTAGAGTTATATAATTACAGACTGTAGTGAACTACCAAGACTAAATACGCCTAAATATTCTTCATCTATTTTCTAGTCAACGTGCAAACATGCCAAAGTAAGATAAATATTCTTTTTTCAATGTTATCATCATTTTGATATTTTCAGTGATTTTGTAACTCAGTTTCAGAAGCCAGGTATAATTTTATCTTTAGATCTGTACACCTTGTATCTAGTATAATAACGAAGTTATTCAAGTGTAATTGTCACTTGACTGCAGTTTAATTCTTGTTTTTATCCGAAAATTATATTTTGAGATACAATGCTTACAAATGTATTCAGAAAATATCAGGCTAAATTTTTCAGTACTAATAATAGCGATAACACATTTACGATTAGTGCATGCCAAGACAATTTAGAAGTTTTAACTTCGTTACGAATTTTACTTATTTATTTACCTATTTACCTCCGCCTGTTACCCCCAATAAACAATAGGTCGTTGACCAGTTTTCTTCAACCTACTATGTCCTCAAACTCGCTTTCCAGTTCTGTCCAATTGTTGATCATTCTTCTCATGTCTGCCTCTATATGCCTTTATCAAAGTCTTAGTCTCAACACTACTGAGAATTCAAAATCTTCCCTGCTTTATCTTTCATCTTAGAAAACCTACAACCCCTGCTCACAACGAGTAAGTACTAATCCACGTATTTTGTGTTACAATTTGCTGTTTATATATTTTATTCAACGAGATTATTTTAAACATTTTATTTATTATTGACAATAAACTGAGAAGTCTCTACAATCATTCATGTTAATGTCAAACCACAAGTAACCTTCTCCGTCCTATTGTGATGTTAGGCCCCCTTACGTTTGTGATAT